ATTCCAGCGCTGCGAGGCCCGGGTTTCCAGGACCCGAGGGTCAGAGACTTTCAATGAGGGCCAGGACCGAGGAGGCGACGGCTAGGTCCCCGCCAGGATGCCCACAGCTCGTCGCTTCCGGTCCCGTCCTCTGAGCCGGCGAAAGCAGGGGAAAAGTTGCGCGCCAGCCGGCCCGGAAAGACCCTCGGGCCGCCCGCACCCGGCGGGTTCCCGAGGAGCACCGTCGGGGTCTTCCGGGAGGGCCCCCGCCCGTGCTGATTGGTTGGAGGCTGCTGCCGCCTGGTCCTAACCGGTCCGCCACTGCTTTCCCCGCCCCTTTCTTCCCGCTCCCCACCCCAAGGGGCCCGAGGCCGGAGCGGGTTTCCTAGGCGACCGCTTGGGTAGAGCGTACACATCGCCACGAGCTAGGGGCCGGCGAGGTGGCGGAGCCCGCCGCTGCAAGGCGAGGACTAGGAGTTCGGAGACGCCCACCTGTCTCGATTGCCTCGGAATCCGTCTTCTCTCTGGGATACGGTGAGTGTCCGTCACCTGGTGGCCTTTGGGCGTCCATTACCTGTAGCCTGGCCTGGGAGCCTTTGCTCGCCTCTGTCCGTCTCCGGCCACACCAGGAGAAAGACAGGCGAGAAGCAAAGTTGAAGTCAGAGGGCCCGGGAATGGTGCAGTGGAGATAACAATGAGGCGGTGACGTGGCTTTATCTGAGGCCGTGAGTACCCAGAGACGGCAAGGGAGGGTGGCCCCCAGCCACTTGCACAGCCTTTCCTGTGCCGGTACCTGGGCAGAAACAAGCCCTCCTAGGCCAGACTTTATCCTGCTCACCTCCAGCCGTAGGGGTGCTTGACCCATCAGTGATAGTGGATGGATTCTGACCACTTTATACTCAAGAGAGAAAACAATTTGATTATACAGGGCTTCTAGTTTGTGGAAAAGAAATTTGATTATCTCAGACTGACACCCTACCCAGCTTTCATGGCAGACAGAAACATGGTCCTTTATACTCTAATTATAATTATACTCTGATCGGTTATGTACAGCAGGTATTTAGCTTATACCATAAAGGACCCTGTGGTATGACAATTCAAACCATTCAACAAACTTTCATCAAATGCCATGTGTGTACCAGGCACTGTGATAAGTTCATGGTCCCTGCCTTCAGTGAACATGTAACGCTATAGGGAGGAAAGACCTGCAAGCATCACAATACAGTGGGACAGGTTCCATTTGCAGGGCATATATGCAGGCCTTAAATGGAGTCTTAAGGAGGAGAATGATTCTAATGCCACCAGAGAGAAAGTCTTCACATAGAAAATTCTTGATTTAAATCTTTAAGGATGTATGGAATATGCCATAAAGTCAAGGAAAAAAGACATTTTAAGTAAGGGAAACAGCATATCCCAAAGTATAAAAATATCCCAGCCTGTTTAGAGAAATACAGTTGTGGCAAAGCCCGAGGTATTCTGGGGAGTTTGCGGTTGCTGAGCTTGAGAGGTAGGCAAGAGTTAGAGCACAGAGACCATGGATACCTTCCAAGGGGACGAGTGTGAGCAGATTTACCTTTCAGGAGGCCGGCTGTCACAGTATTGCAGAGGATGGATTGGACAGAAGTGGGACTATGGGGAGGGCATCCAGTTAAGGTGAAATGATGAGGGCCTGAACCAAGAAAGAGGCAATTGGAATGGAGAGGAGGAAAAAAGTGATAGACACTTAAGAGGTATATGCAGAAGGATTGTGATGAGTGAGTGAACTTGGGAAAGGAAAGTCCCAGGTTCCTGACTAGGATGATTAGAAGGATGATGTCATTTACCAAGAGAAGGCATACATTAGGAGTGGCAGGCTGGCTGGAAAATATATTCAGTTTTGAGCATACTAAGTTTGAGATGCCTGTGACACATTCAGTCGGAGCTTTCCATGTGGGTAGTAGGATTTGTTGCACAGAGAAGAGGAAGATACAGATTTGTAATTTTTCACCAAGAAGGAGACAGTTGCTCAGAAAAGAGCTTTGAAATAACAGGTAGAAAGAAGCTAAGGAGAAAAAGGCAAGCCAAAGAGGAAAACTTAAAAAAGAGAGTCATCAGCATTGTCAAATGCCATTTCAGACTCAAGTTGAGAGCTGAAACATGCCTACTGTCTTCGGCAATTAGATTATTGTTGATCTTGGTAAAAGAAACTGTAAAGGCCTGAGGTGTCTCAATCAGATTGCAGTGAGCTGAGAACTGAATGGAGGTAATGAAGTATTGCTAATGACTAGTTTTTCTGTAAAGGTATCTAACTAAAACCAGCTATTCATAGAATACAGGCAGGAGGATTTTTTTTAAAGTTAGGAACCACCTGACATTCATATATAGAGACCCTTCAGAAGAAAAGATGAGAACATATGAGAAGGAGGAAAGATTGACAGCAATATTCTGATAGAGACTTAAGAGGGTGGGATCAATACACAGGAAGAGAGATTCATTGTGGACAAGAGAAAAAAATACTCTTACTAAGAAGTCAGGAAGAGAAAGCATACATTTTTAGGAGGAGAGGGAATTTAAGGAATGTGAATTATGATAGCATCACTGTTCTCTGTGAAGATGGGGACAAGAGTATCTGCTGCGAGAGAGAACTTGAGAAGACTAGTAGAAATTTAGAATAGTCCCTATGTCATGAGTCCTAGGTCTGTAACTCTAGTCCTACTCTCCCTAGAAAATGAAGTTGAAGAGGAACATATAAAATGTTTATTGCTGAAGGTCCAGCTGAAGTTAGAGACGTGCATTTGTAGTGACTTCAACTCCATGCTGGTTATGTGAAATCTTCCAGCAGTGTTCCAGAGCAGAGGAGAGAGCTGACTGGATCAATCAAAGATTTGAGATTTGAAGGGTGAAAGCTGTAGAAGCTCGGGTGGTTCCAGGTTCCCTGGAGGGACTAGAGAGGCCTGTGGTCTCTTAGATGGGCAGGCCTAAAAAGAGGTTTCCCAAAGTGCAGGAGAGAGAATACAAGCTGGTCAACATGTCTTGATGGAATCAGAAGCTTTAGTTGGATGCGTTGAGTCCACTTGTGACTAGAAAAAGCACACAAGGCTTATAAGTACCAGGAAGGTCCAGGGTTCTCATAATTTAGATTTAATTATGCAAATTATAGAATTTAGAGTTTTAAAATTAAATTGTTTTGCTAATTAACTATGAATTACAATAAGATTTTTTCCTAAGTGAGGGCATTGATGAAAGGAAAACAGGTGAATGCAAGGTTAGGTTAGTACCCCAAATATGCATATTTCTCTATCAAGAAAAGGTAGTCTTCTTAAATAAGTGGAGAGCTCTATACCTTGTTCTCAAGAAAGACTCAATACTGTAAAGATGGAAGTTCTTCCTAAATTAATCTTTACAATGGAGTCTCAAAACCCCATGTGAATTTTTAAAGACCAAATACAAAATAATCATAAATCTTATTTGGAAAAATAATATTAAAGAATAGCCAAGAAATTTCCAAACAGAATACAATGTGGGAATCCGCAATATAAATCACAGTAATAAAACAGGGTAATACTATAGAAATAGAGCTGAGAGAGAGAACAGATCGGAAAGTCCGACATTAGACTCAAGTCCATGTGATAATTTAGTGAATAAACAAGGGAACAGTTAATTTCTTTTGAAATAGATATCTTGGACATAGACTAGATAACTTGGATCACCATTTGGATGGTGGGGGTACAGAGGGCAGGCTTTGTCCCTTGTGTGGTGGTGGAAAGGCAGGCTTTCCTTTGGTGTTCACAGATATTAAACCAAAACGTAGGGGCCTCTCTTCTGATGAGAAGAGATGCTACAAGCCCTCCCTTACTTGGTGTGCCATCCAGATAAGCCCAGGGAGGGAAGATGATGGCCTGCATCTGTCTATTGGCCTCTGATGGAATATCTGAATTCTTTCAGGTTGCTCCTTGCTTAGCGCTCCCTTGCCTGGCCACTCCTGCCGCCTATGCTGTAATAACTTGTTCAAGAATAGGGTATGAGACAATTGCCAGTGGGAAGCAGGGAAGGAATGACCAGTGTTACCTTCACTATAGACCCATCATCTAACTACTCATGGTCCCGACTACCACCACCCTGCTCCAACACCATCCTCTCTCACTTATATTATTACAACTATCCCTTAAGTGGTCTCCTTGCTTCTGCCCTTGACCCTACAAGTCTATTTTCAAGAGTAGCTAGAGTGATCTTTTTTCAAAACTTAAGGCAGCTCTTCCACTTAAAATCCTTACAAGGATTTTCATCTTACTCATAATAAAATCCAAAATCCTCGCAAGGGCCTCACAAGACAGCACCTGACCTGGCCCTGCAATACTCTCTGATCTCACCTCCTACCAGTCTCCAATTCCCTGGATGTGCTCCAGCTACATCACTTTCCTTGCTATTTGGCAAACACGGCAACTATATTCTCACTCCATTTTTTTTTTGCATTTGCTCTTCCCTCTGCCTGATGCATTTCCCCAGGTTTTCTCATAGCTCACTCTCTCATTCCTTCAACTCTTGGCCCAGATACTAACTTACCAGAGAAGTCTTCTCTTTCCTCCCACCCCATCATTCTCCAACTGGTAGATATTTGCCCTCTGTACATCAATGAATGAATGAGTGAAGAAATGAGTAGAATCCAGTGTATTAGGATATTTTCTTTGTGGTGCTAGCTAGATTCCCTCCCTCCTTGACTCAGCATGGTGGAACTATGTCCCCAGTTTACAAAGCCTGAGTACTAAGATAGACTGTGTGCAGTACTCTGATGAAGATCTCAAAATCCTTTGATTTGGTCCCTTTGGGTGGCCACAGCCACTCTCTTCCCAATCACTGCTGCTCTGAGTTTGGGGAATTTTTTTAGGATAGTTTTGTAAAGCTGCTTTCTCTGGCTTTTCTCTCAATCTGATGCCATTATCTTTGTCTTCATTCAAAAGACCTTTCTCAACATTTTTGGCAATCAGTGCTCTTTTCCTAGCACTACTACACATTTCTTTCTTATTTTCATATTCCCCTATTATTCTAGTGGGATTTGGGGAGAGAAGTTAGGTGACTACATGGAATCTAGCCACCATTTTTTTGCCTTAAAATTTTAATTTATGTATATACCTGTAGCTTCTACCATTGCCCTCCTTGTTTACTCCATTCCAGCCACTGTGGCCTCCTCACTGTTTCTTGACCATACCTCACACACACTCACCTTAGGGTGTTTGCACTTACTGGGATGTTCTTCCCCTATGTATCTTTATGGTTCACTTCCTACATTACTTTGCATAGATGAATAAAAGTGAGCATATAAATGCTTTTTAAATAAACATTTAAGTAAATTTCACTTAAGTATAACATATGTCTTAGGAATCTAATTTTTATTTTCTCAAAGTGAACACATATCCCTTTAACCAGTACCCAGATCAAGAACTATATCTTCATCAGCACTTCAGAGCCCCTCTTCGCCACCTCGTAGTCACTCACCCTGAAAGGTAACTACCCTCCTGACTTCTGATACCAGAGATTAGTTGTTTTCAAATTTTACATGAATGGAGTCACGCAGTATATACTCATTGTGTGGCTTCCTTTGCTCAACATTGTGTTTGTGAGAATGATCTGTGTTAGAAAAAACAATAGTTTCTTTCTCATTCCACTTGTAGGTATTAACCAGTAGAAATATGTATGACAAAAATGTTCAGAGAGCACTATTTAGCTTCAACTGGAAACAGTCCAAATGTCTACCAACAGTAGAATGAATAAATAAATGGATACACACACACACACACACACACACATATATATATATGATGTCCCCAAAAAATGTATACACACTTTAACAGCTGATAGCTCAATTGATGTTTCTTTCTTTTCAGATTTAACCCATTGGAATTAATAATTATTCAAAGTATATATACATTTTTGGGGACATCCTGTATTCATGCTATACAATACTAAACATGATATTTTAAAAGTGTGGATTTTTTTCTTTTCTGTTTTTGCCTAGATCTAGCCCCATCCAACCTGGCATGCCTATTATAACTACATCAGCCTTCACCTGCATCTAAGATAATTCATGTTAACAACTTAGTATCTATCTTTCCATATTTTCTCCTTGCACAATCATACACACACATGCATATACATATATATGCACATAGACACACGTATCTGTGGGGGAGTTACCATTGTAAAAAGTGGAATCACAATATACACCATTTCTACATCTTGCTTTGTCGTGTCATAATATTAAAAACCAGTATTCCTATATTTTTAAAAATAGTATATGTCTGGAATGATATAACGAAAATATTAAAAATTATGAAAAGCTGGGTTAAATTTTATTGAAGCTACTTAGGTATTAATTAGTTCATATCATCTAAAATGAAGAAGTCGGCTAATTCTTTTTGTTTTTAATCCTCACCTGAGGATATTTTTTCCATTGCTTTTCAGAGAGAGTGGAAGAAAGAAAGAGAAAGAGAGAGAGAGAGAGAGAGAAACATCAATGTGAGAGAGACACACATCTACTGGTTGCCTCCCTCACACACCCTGACCAGGGCAGGGGATGGAGCCTGCAACTAAGGTTCAAGCCCTGGGCCGGAATCGAACCTGGGACCCTTCCGTTTGGGGGTCCCGACGCTCTAACCACTGAGCCAAACCAGCAAGGGTGGTTAACTCAGTTTAATAAACATTTGTTAGCATGCTAGATATGTAGCTAAGCCCTGTGGATTCTTTTCTGTGCTCTCTAAGTACACTTAGGGAACTAAGAGACATGAACTGGACGCAAAGTAAGGGTGTAGACAAGAGATGACTATTTTTCTCACGTTGGTAAATTAGGCTGATAGCATGGAAGAAAATTATATTTGTTTTATTTGAACCTGAAGGTAAAATGACGACAAATAGGAAGACGTTATAAAGAGACAATTAAATTCAGAATAAAAAAATAACTTTCTAACAGAAAACTTTATAGATGGAATGGACTGTCTTGGGGCCCAGACAGATGCTTGATGATGTACTGCGTGAAGATTTCAAGCCACAGATAGGCAGTTGCACCTAAGTAAGCATAAGGACCCTTTCAACATGGAATGACATAGCTCTAGTATTTATTTTAATTTTTTATTTTCCTTAATAGATAATATTATGACCCTTATTTTTAATGGAAGATGATTGAATGTGAAAACCTAAACCAAGAAGAAATTATTAAAGAACTGGTGAGTTAAGGCCAAATTTATTTTCAACCACATTTGCAAGAATATTAAATGGGATATTTTACACTCCTTTCTGGAGCTTACCTGGAAATTTCTTCTACTGCATGGCCTTTGGAATCAGAAAAATTATATATATGGTATAACGTTCCTGAGAGTAAAAATGGCATCCATGCAATTGACGATTTATAATTTCTATTGGCAAAAATCATTTTCTGATTATTTTAAATAGATAATGACCCAGTTTCTTTTTTGAAAACAGTGTTTATGCAATGGTTTATCTTATGAGATGGTTGTACAAGAAGGATCAGATACTTCAAATCTGGAGATGTTTTTCTCAGGGTATCCCCGTATCGTCGGATTATCACTGTTTCCCAATTTAACAAGTCTCACGATCGTTGCTCAAGACATAAAAGAAATTTCAGGATTAGAGACTTGTTCAGAACTTAAAGAACTCTGGATTGCCGAATGCTGTCTAGAGGTAAGTCTAAGCATATAACTTTACATGAAACATTTTATACTGAATTATTTGGCTTTGGAAAAATAATTCACTGAAATATATGCTTGAGACCTGGCTCAAAACAGATAA